GCATGTGAGCAGAAACATAAAGCCCTTTTCTTTCATTGGATTTTTTGAAGTGGGTTTTTGAGTTCCAGACTAGAAACAGCAGTTCTTAATTCACTGGTCTTGCCGCTTTATCTTTTGTAAGAGCACGGGGAGAGTCTGAGGACTGAGTGTGCTTTCCCTGAAATGCGAGTTACCAGACACACCTGGGGTATTTCACACAGACCCCACAATGCAGAACAGGTGGCCCTGGGTGGGTGGGTGGAGGAGGGACCCTCTTATTGATAATTGGTCTTTACCAATCATGACCTCCTAATAATCCCCATCTATCAATTCTGTATAATAATAATTCCTTACACTTATAAAGTGCTTTTCTGGACACTCCACTCAAAGCTCTTTACAGGCAATGGGGATCCCCTCTACCCCCACCAGTGTGCAGCCCCATCTGGATGATGCAACAGCAGCCATAGTGCGCCAGTGAGCACCCCCTACTGGTCCCACTAACACCTCTTCCAGCAGCAACCTCAGTGTTTGCCAGGAGGTCTCCCATCCAGGAACTAGCCAGGCTCACACCTGCTGAGCTTCAGTGGACTGCCAGTTGTGAGTTGCAGGGTGATATGCCTGCTGGCAATGGCTTCATCACTCTGTTCTCCTCCCCACTGATAGCTGCCGTCACATCATCCAGGTGGGGCTGCACATTGGCGGTGGTGGAGGGGAGTCCCCATTGCCTGTAGCTGAGTGGAGTGTCCAAAAAAGTGCTATATAAGTGTAAGGAATTATTACTGTTTATAACACTACAAGCAGAGGTGTGGTTAATTTCGAAGAGACTTGCTATCTGAATAAACCCAGACCCGGCATTCCTCCGTCAGTAGTTTCCTGCAGTCTGGGGAATCCATGTCACAGCTATCTACTGACATGGCCAGGCCCGAGCCAGGAACCTCCAGACCACAGGGCTCAGCCTGAGTTTCTAATGAGCTCTTCTTCTGTGTGAGCCACCTGGGGGTCCCAGAATTTCATATCGGTTTTCCTTCAAATTCAGGCGGATGCATTTATCTGCCCCCGACGGTTAATTTAACTTATTGCACTCCGCTCCAGCACAGCAAACGTGCTCCAGAGTCACTTTTATACCACATTACTGAGGCAGCAGAGAATCCACAAGAGACCTACACTTCTTCCTTAACACATTTATGGTAAAAGAAACACTAACACCACCAGGGAAATTCTAAATCCAGACCAGAGACGCTGATATACAGCCCTTTGTAAGAAGACTTTAGTACCCTACCTTACGGATGCTGGGCAAAATTATTTGCCTGGAGCTAACACTATCTGTATCTTTAATGTAGTTGCCTATGAACTCTTTAAGGACCACAGTATTTTATACACAGTCCTATGGGGGCTATGTTCATTCCTGTGAAGTGGTTTTCTCCTGTGGATGTTTGTAGGATGTGTATCAGATCTGGATGCCCATACGAAAACAGTCCAAGGGAAGCATCCTACTAAAAACCTTAATTGGTTAAGAGGTTGTGGGGACTAAAGGGTTACATATCACAGCACAACTCACATTTGGCAGGTCTAATGTGAAACGCTAGCGTTGTCAGTACTGGTAATATCTAAAACAGCAGATCAGCAGCGAAGATAAGATAACCTTAGCTGATTAGGAGCTGTGGATGTTAACAACACTGCAGCCAGGTGAGGTTGGTGAAAATGAGTCTGAAGTTCCTTTGGCAACAGAGGTCTTTAATGTATCTGTTGGTAGCATGGCAGCACAGTAGTCAGCATTGCTACCCCACAGCACTGGGGCCCTGGGTTCGGTTTTGGACTTGTTGTGTCGTCTGCATTGAGTTTGCATTGAGTTTGCATGATCTCCCCGTGTTCACGTGGGTTTCCTCTGGCTGCTCCGGTTTCCTCCCACAGCCCAACCAGCTACTGGGAGGTTAATTGGTTTCTGAGAAAACTGGCCCTGGTGTGACTGTTTGCATGTCTGGGTTGTGTCTGCCCCGCAGTGGATAGCGTCCCGTCCAGGGTGCACGCAGCCTGATACCCGTAACCTGCTGGGATAGGCTCCAGCTCCCCCCGCAACCCTGGACTGGATGAAACAGCTAGATTAACCCATCGATACTTCTGTCCCCAGCTAGTGGCAGTCAGCGGGCACTGGTGCAAGCAGCCAATGAGCTGCCAATCGGGAAAAAGAAAACAAAACACAGGCTAAGAAAGAGGAGCAGAATTCAGATGTAACATTACAAATCCTTTCTTAAGTCTCTGTTGAAGTCAATTAAAAAATCTCATTCTTGACAGTCATTGAGTGCCTCTGCTCATCATTGAAAGGGTACTACACACTCTGCGGAAGATGTGATGAATCATGAAGCAAGCAGAAGTTAAACATGGCAGTGTGGTGAACGGACTTGAGTGATGCATGTCAGCTCCTGTCACTGTCCTGTATTTCGCATCATTTGACATGAATAACTTCCATGACTTCTCCGGCAAATCTGACGGGATATTTGTAGCTTTTTTGCAAAATGCTCATCATTTCAGCCCCTCCAGTCTCTGTAGAACACAGAGGAAGACGATGTGCTTAATCACAATCTGACACTTCTCAGAAGACACACCGAACCACAGCCCCACTGTCTCGTCGGTTAAAAGAACACAATGCACTGAGTCACCTGCTCTTCGCCATCTGTCTAGGCCTGGAGTGTGACCGATGTGGGCAGTGCTGCGAACTGTCAGTGATATCCTCCTGACATGCAGGAATTGCACAGTCAACAGAGCACGAGTTGTAACATACTACGCTAGCAGGCCACCGTGCACATCTGCATAAAATGCCAACCAGCCTCATACTGACCACCTACTGTAAATGCAACTTTGGAATTATACACTGAATGCATTTTGAAGTGTACGAGACGTACACAACCTGTTTTTTTACAAAATACACATTCACCTTGGCAAAATGACAACTTTCCACTGTCTGTAATAACAGTGCAGGTCAGTTAAAAAAGAAACAACAGGTTCAGATGATTATGCTGAGATGTGCTCCTTCTCACATAACGTAAGCATCTCCAAAAGTGGCTTAGATTAGATCAGAAAGCAATCTGGGACAGACTTCTTGAGGCCCTTTGTCTATGGCCTTGGTTCCTCACTGAAATTGCATTGTCTCCTGATTTCATTGTGCATTATTGTTGGGGCTCATTTTATAATCGGGGTGCTTAGAGTGTTTAAGACACAACAAAACATTCATCACTTAGGATGTTTTTCTTCTCTTCCTCTTTCACTTGTTTTTATAAATGTCTTTTGACACACCCTGTGTATGCTGTGGATTCGCCGCTAAATTGGACCGTCCACTGACAAAAGAAACAAGCTTCCTGCACTGCTTCTTCGATCCTGCTGTTCATTCGTGGTTTTTGTAACTCTGGGGGTCACCAGATTGAGCTCACTAGAGCCACAGCTCAGAAGGTTTTTAAGATCTCACCATCTTAAGGTTGGAAGAGAAAAGTTAAATCGATCCAAGTAATGTGTATTGGGACCAATGTATCTCCCTTTCCTATGCTTCTGAACGTCTGGTAACGTAACAAAATCCCAAAAATGTGCTATACTGCAGCCTCAAGCACCACAATAGGGGATCTTCCATTTAATATAGAGATCCTCACTCTTCGTCCTGCTGAGTTGCAGGGTTCTCATTGGTAGAATTGGATTTTAGTCTACTAAAAGTGTACTGACTTAATTAAGTCAATAAGTGAGTAATCATGACTAATTACCAAGACTCTCCTCCTGACGGGGCTGTAATTCCTCATTAAATGTTTCTTGCACGAATTAGTAATTAAATGCTCAATGGGCTTGCGGGGTCGAATGACAGCTTCATATTTGTAACCTTACTTGCGTCCTTGTGTTTATTATAATTCCACTTGAGAAGATGGAGATGTTCAAATGAGAAGGGCGACAACATGCTTTTGTCTGGCAGATTTCAAGATAAAATATTCACCAACAGCAAAAAATAAAAAACAACAATGTTGCAAAACAACTGGAGAACGGGTGAGACGTTGATGCTCTGATGTGTGTACAATTGCTACTTATCTTTTTCTATTTTGGGCTCAATTAAAAAGTAATCGGAGCATCTGGAGTGCAGAAATGTCGGCATCATCTGCCTGCTGTCGATGCAAAGAGACAGGTGGCCTGCCTTTGTCTGTTGCACGTTGTTACGCAATTGATTTTGAAAGAAGGGCTTCTGCACCCTAAGCAATTAAGCAACTAAACCAGAATTTGCAGATGTAAAAAGCCAAAAGGCTAAGCAAAAGCTCCCTCTTTTCTTGAATATATCATTTCAGTGCCAAAGGCACTGAAAATCTGAATTTTCCACAGTACTCATCAACTATAAAGGTAGATTTCAGCCCTTCGCCTTAAGTACTTGATGTATAATGCCAGCCCTGTGGCTTCGTGGATTGGATGTAGGAGATGCTGTTCAAGAGTTTTATATCTGGGGCTTGATTTGCTTTAAAACGGATGACAGAGGCTAAGCAACATAAGTAGAGGGGCTGAGTGATGTCACACCCCGAAAAAAGAAGACTCTATATCTTTGAAACAAAAGCAGCACAAATGCTACTTCCAAGAGCACAAACGGAGCACTAACAAACCAGACTGGTTCGGTTCTCCTGCACCGTTCTAGAGGTGCTGGCTGATATCACACACACCCCCACCGCCCCCCCAAAAAAACAAGGCACTAGATCTTGGAAAAGAAAGCAGCATGAGCGCTACTTTCAAAGGCCCAAACCGGCCCACACGCAGCACTAATGAATCTGGTGGGTTTCATCAGTTATGCTGTTTGTAGGGGGGCCAATGTCACAGAGCTGTAAGACAGGGCAGACCTACTAAGCGTGCCATGGAGGGAGAATCAACCTTCTCAGAGCAATGTCCAGCGGGATAATATACAGCTTTTTATTAAATTGCATAAACTTGGTAAACTTTGTGCTAGATCTTGTTTAGATTGTTTCCAAACGTATTAAAAAAAATATTTGTAATGTTTTGTGACTCTGTAGTGGCTGACTTCGGACTAACAGACCCCAGGTTGTGCTACATTCTGGATGGAGTCCTGCTCATTTATGGAATCATCATTACAGCTCTCTACTTCAAAGACAAGGTGGGGATTACACCTACAGCAGTGATGAGAAAGCACTGTGAACTCACTCTGCTAAACATTAGCTTTGTCAGAATATTAAATTAATTTGATTGATTAAACACATTGACTTTACTTGAGAAATGGTTCAATGTCGAGACTTACTTCACATACAGTATCTTAGATGGTTAAAAGATACAGAGATCTTAAGATATTTGATTCGATACTTTATTGGGTTTAAAGTAATGTTCTACACTGACAGCCTAAGAGACACTTTAATAATTAAAATGGCTGAATCTAAAGTAAGACATTGAAATGTGCTTCTTATGTACTGAACAGTGATCTGCAAATAAGTATTTTCAGACTCAGGTTGGATCGAAGTTCCCACTAGCTGACTCTGACTTCAGAGTAGCTACTGGTACAACAAAACTGGATGAATCTGGCCAATGATATTGAGCTTCCTACAAACTGAGGAGTGAACTGAAGGTTAAATCCACTGAAGATACTTGAAGATAGAGATTCTGAATGAAAACATCTTTAATTCTTCTCCTTTTGTTATTTAGTTTTCTAAGCCAAAGGAGGGACCACAGATGGAACCTATATATTCAGTAAGTCATATTTTTTTGCACTTGTGAATTTAATGGTAATGGTAGTAGTGTGTTACAAGTAGCAGCAGTAGTAGAAATTGAGCAAGCTGCATATTTCCCTTGCTGTGGGTACAGTCCATTTTCTCCCTCTGTTCACATAACCACTGCGCAGTGATAAAATGCTCTATGTGAGCAATGTGATACACTTTGCCAGAACAATCTATGTTCTTTGCATATTCAGGACCTGGACAAGAACAGGGATCAATATGACCAGCTGAGGAGAGGAAATGACATTGAGAACGCACCCAGACCGGTAAGTGCAGATCAGACCCACAACAAGAACATGTGTTACGAATTGTTGGACGCAGACTAAGAACAAAAGAAAGATCACCAACACAATGGAGGCTATCTGTCCCATATAACTCTAGTATCTCCCCCAAACCTTTTTGCATAGACATGCCTCATATTCTCAGTTTTAAATGCATTTCCCCACAGTTTTGACTTGTCTCTTCTACTTTTCATTACGCTTTCATACTCTGTTGACTCTTCAGAGGATTCTGGAAACCTACACAAGATCCCTGTGTAGGTTTCTCTGCAGAAGACTAGAGATCTTCAGTCTTTTTAGCCAGTCGGTGCAGACTCTTGCTTTAAACCCAGACAGGTATCTAATATCTCTTCTCTGGACTTATTCCAGGTTAGCAGTCACCTACGGTCATGTTGATGGTGATCAAAATGAACCCTCTGAACCCCTCTGTTTGTCTCTAGTCGAACACGCAGGTCTAGTACTATAACAGTCCTGAAATACCATACTGCAAACACCTGGCCAGTGTAAACGGTGTCAGACCTCATCATGTACCAGACAAGCTCTTGTCCTTGCACTGTTCCAGTAAATGTTGCGTCACTGCTGAACTTTATTAGCAGAGTACATTTCTCCTGAGGCATCCACTAAAAACAGTCTAGAAAGCTGATGAGCAGTCTAGAAATCTGTGATGTCCCAACCCTTCCTCTCATCGCCCCCTACAGGGTGACTTCCATCAACCCCACAGCAGCTGAAAGCCCAGGAAGGAAACCTTAATTAAAACAAGCACCCTGAAACGGAAACTTAAAGCAAATTTGATTGTTTTAAAAGTTATATATAAAAGGCCTGGGCAGAAATAATAATAATTATGATACAGCATACATTACCTCTCTATATATTAGTATATTAGTCCTCATAAATTAGATAGCAATATTATAAAGCTTTTGACAGGACAAGTACCTTGTGTTAAATAGTTCAGGTGGGTAGCCGCGTCAGCATGCATAGGCTGCAAAGGAACAAGTGTCTTTTCAGAACACCTGAAGAAGGTCCCACGGCCGAAACGTTGTGTTTTCTTTCTTCTCTTTTCAGCATGGAATAAACCTATTACTTGTTCCCTTGTGTTAGATGCCCAGTATATGGCTTGTCATTTGTAACAATTGAGTAGCTTCTCACTGATAAAACACTAATATTCAACACCGAAAAGGATTATGTTCCCCTAGTTATGGAGAACTAATTTGATGTTTACTGGCCTGAGGCCACTATTTGTTAATAATTGGATATCTAACATTAACACCCGTTTTTGCAACACCCACTAATTTTGCCAAAAAGAACGCACTGTTGGTTGGAAGGCGAGGAAAGAGTTTTGACACAGTGCTTTGAGAAGTCTCGAAGACTTTTAAAATGTAAGAATTTTTCTTTATTACCTTCGTGGCTTTCCGGTACTAGTGGCGCTTTACTGCACAGATTCGACACGCTAAATTCAACCTGGCGAAATAACCACAGGAAAGCGTCCCTCGGCGCCACGCCTAGAGTTAACAGCATCAGCTTCTTCCGACGGTGTTTGTGTAACCAGGTCAGTGGCTCGGCACGCTAGTGATCGCGCATCCCAGTTATCGTGTGTGGGCCAATAACATGTTTCTGTCCCTCGTGGATATACGGCGTGAACAAGGAACAGCGAGCAGTGACAAAAACCTTCGAAGTCGCCTTTCGAATGGGTAGCATTAAGGCGTGGACACGCCCGTGGGTGTGCGTGTGTCTTCCACTGCAAGTTGGCCAGGTAACCCTTACCTGGGTCACCGATGTGCGAGCAGGTCATGTGCGTAACCGAGCTCTGCTTAGAGCAGGGGGGCTGTCGCTCAGACAGAACAGAAGTGGAAAATGTGTAGAGATGTGATAAGACGCCGAGCTGAGGAACCAGCCCGAGATGAGGGGTCCCACCCCCTCCTAACCACGCGGCACAGGAAGCGGCACGGGGTGCTCTTCAGCGAGGACTCGGCTTATCTTTGATTTTTAGTTGCGCTGCTCAATTTAGTCTCTTCTTGTTGTAAATTACTACACCGACAGAAGTGCGCGCTACGTAGCCGGAGAGGACACACCCCTCGGAGCTGAACTATTTTACAACAGAAAGGAAATTATGACTGCACAGATATGTTTTAAATGCACGCATCCCAGCAAAAACGCGCACTTTTCAGATCCCGCGCAGACGAGGGTCTCGACTCTAATTTAATTTTCAAACGCGCTTTTCCAAAACGCCTCAAAAGGATCGCTTAAAATAAACCGAAATAATTTTTTAAGCGTCACCTTCAAAAACACAAATGGAGCCTAGCAAAGGAATATATCATCATAAATATTTGAACAGTCAGACCATTTTGTTTATGTTTCAGTGTTGACCATCTTTATTGTGCAGCACTTTAAAATTCCTACCATATTTGTGAGGCTTTCATTTGATGAATTTGTGTGTCCTTCAAGTATTTGTAATGAAGTACAAATTAAGATACTCCAAACAAAATCACCCCCAAGTGCAGTGACGTGTTCATACCGTGACGAGTTTGGAGTGGACATTAACGTGAAATGACATTTAAATAATTTTTACACTTCCTAAGTCAGACGCGCGGCTGGCCCGAGAGGCACAAAAAAATAGCAAAATTGTGCTCTCTCATTCTCTGCAGCACAGAGTATACTGAAAGAGAAAAAAAACACATTGGAGAAGTTTATTAATAACAGCAGCTCACTGCAGTGTAGCTTCTGAAGAAGGATACAGGATCTCACACCTCAGTATTACACACACCTCAACTAATTCAATGTCTAAATAAAAACGAGAGAGGCCCCCGACTGGGGCTTGTGCAATATTGAAGAAAAAAAGAAGCGTGAGTGTGAAAACTATTATTTCTGACCACTAGGGGAACTCTGGCAGGTCACTGCAGTTACAGTCACTAACTCAGTCCATTTTCTCCCCTTTAGAATCGGAGGAACGCGGATGACCTCTACACGGTGAGTGTCGTTTCTTACAGGGGGTGCTGCCTTTTCCCAGACTGACATAAGAAGTCTAGGCTCGCGGTTATGTTATTATCTTAGCATCACATGGGCGCTTGTACCTAAATGACAGGGATCGCTGTGTCGCAACAGGTCGTGCGCTCCAAGGGAACCTGGTTTCCCTCTAGCCTTGCCACAATTTACAAAGCCCACCCAGCCAAACAAACAAAAAAACGGACCTGCTGGCGTGGCTAGACAATTTCCCTGCTGGAAGGAGAGCTGGACGACGGAGGCCGGCCGTGCCCCGTCTCTGAGTTTGTGGGGAGGACTGGCCCATGAGGGAAAGCACTAGAAAACGTCTCGACTGGCACTAGGGGCTGGTGCCACCCACCTGTACGCTGTCGGGGATACGCAGGTGACGCGGCTTGAAGAGGAGGCGGCAGCCCTGTGGACGCCCACAGACCCGCGTGGGCACGGGCGACCCCAGCCACGCCATCTCCTTCATCTAGCTGGGCACGAGGGACTGAAACCCACGGGGAGGGGGGTCGCCGAACAGCGGGCGGAGCATCACGCACTAGGAGCCGGTGTGAGGAGGGAGCAGTGAAGCGCGACGTGGGGCCTCATTTATACTGTAGATATCGTGCCGAAAGCCCAGTGGACGGCCAGCACACGTGGGTTTGGGAGTGCAGTGATGTCAGACCTTGACCCGATCCCTCCGGACTGCACGCTCGCCAAGGGCCACCCTACCGAGAGCCGGTGTTGAGTGAGATCAGCTGGACCAGTGCGGAGAGTGGGATGCTCGCGTTCTGTGGGTTCTTACAAGAGCTGAACGGCCTACACAAGCTCCCTACCTTGAGCGCCCCCATTATACTGGAAGCCGGGCATGGTTACGCGACCAAAGACGTCGCTGAACCCGTGTGGCAAAGCAAAAGCCGACAGTGAACTGAACCCTCAGGAGCCAGGCCCATTCGGAAAGGGATCGGCAACTCCAGGGAAAACCAGCTACAAGATCAAAAATAGGATATAATTAACCCTATTATCCTACGTCAATGATCATTAAAACTATACTCTCTCTGTAGATCATAACACATTTGATGCGCATACAGTATATGTCCATTGTGTATAAATTGGCACGGAAAATCTCTTTGCTCTGGGGAGGCTCATTAGTCATTGAGAAATTCACTTTAAACAGACTTGTCCTGATTCTTCTCCTGGTAATATTAAGTGCATTTTTTAATCTATTAATGTGACATATTTCAAGCTGGTGGGAGACCCCTTGTGTGTCAAATGCATATTGCAATGTCTCTCACGACCCTGTTCATTGAGAAGATCGCGTGTCGTTCACCTCTTAGTTTCACACTTTTGCTGTGCAGCTAAAACAACAGTGCTCTGTAGCAAACAGACCATATACTGTATTTTGCGAAGAGCACAATTACTCCATATTTTAGTCATTCTCGTATTATCAACTGTATTGCGGCATGTACCAGGAAAGACTCTCAGTGTATAACGCGAAGCAGCCCAGATACAGAAGATGTCCGACTCCCGTAAATATTTGGTCCAGTAAGACCAGTAAAGGTTTAAAATGTAAATATTTCACCCTTTTCACCACAATCTGACACATTTCTATAGTGCCCTTAATTAGCCGACACATAAAACTCATTTAACTGCGGGATTAATTGCAAAGGACACATCAGTCCTGCGATATGTTCTGTGGGACAGTGCTCGTGATAAAGACAGACAAATCAACACGTAGACGGAGGAAAAGATTGATCGGTCTTTTTTCTTCTTCCCCTGCAGCCTCTGCAAAAGCCCACCACCGACTCCTATGACCAGATTGCAGTGAAACACAAGGGAGAGGTAAGAGGAACACTGTCCACTACACCATTCAGCAGCCTCTGGCCTTGAGGTCTGGGAGAGCATGACTGTGCCTTTAAGATCTGTTAGACGCGCTGGGCCGTATTTTTGTTACGGTTGTGAGCGATTTATACTGGAGCTGACCATGGGCTCACGAAATTGGAGGCCGGCGTTCGAATGAAGAATAAGGGGGTTTCCTTTGCAGAAATGGTGCATGGTTTTACCTGAATCGGGAATGGTTCCCGTAAAAGCTGTGAAACACACCTGCGGAACCTCAAGCTCCAGGCGATGCCATGTTACCGTTCTTGAACAACACTGCGCTCCCCGCTTCTCGTTTTCTCTGGAGCAGAGACATGTGCGGATTTCTGATTTCTAAGACTCCATAAGTTGGTGGAACTGTTGAAGGCTTATTTCATACTTCACAGGACCAGGGAAGTGGATAGGGACTGGGAGTCTACCTTTGCTATTGCTAAAGTGCAAGCTCGATGTTTATTTGTTCAGATATTATGGAAAATATTAGCTCTCCCCTTTTACAATGCGAAGAGGCAGGTCCATCTAAACAGATGTAATTCTGGTTTGTCATTACACATTCATGAGCAGCCAGGGATGGGTGATCCTTAGTATCCAAGCTTTTAGCTTAATCCTCCTGATGAGACCTAAAAATGGTCTAATGGCTGTTCATGACTTAATGTCAAAGCTAGTTCTATGCAAAGGACCTGTTAAAAGTCTTAAACTGCTGGCTCACGTACAGTAATAATACAGCAAAAGATCATATTATTCTCATTCACAGCAATTGCTCCCAAGACACCATAAACTCAGTCTTAAGCTGAGATGCAAGAGGAGACCTCAAAAATATGAAGTCAGCATCGCACATTTCGGTGGATTTTTCCTGTTATATTTCTGTCTGGCAAGTTAATTAAAACAGCTGCAGTTCAGCCCTTACAAAATCACTTCAGAAACTAATGCTGCTGGGTTATTTCGCCTGGTGAAGACTTCCTCAAGGACCAAAAACAAACTAACAAAACAAAAACTAAGAAACGTGTGAGATGATGAATTTAAAGAAAAAGGAAAAATCAAATGTCGAATGAACAAGGAACATTTATTTTCATTCGAAACTCCCAAAAACCACACAAACGTGACATTTAATGTTTTTTTTTCCACAGCGTCGCAGAAACAAAAACGAACAAGTTTACCAGGTGAGAGAATTAACCCTCTTTCGATTTCTCTTTTTTATTATAGAACCAGTCAATAAACCATCTATACCATCTATACCTTCAAAATAGAGCAGGATTGGTAATTCAGTAAATAATAAATAAGCACCTCAACAAAGAAGTAGCCTTCCATTTTGACACCTATCCACAGACCAAAGAAGAGCGAAACTGAAATGCTTGGTGCTTATTTTAATTTTGTAATTGCATACATTACGTGCTGCTGACATCTTGTTAATGAGGTATATTTAGGAGATTTCTTAGTGAAAGCATTTGTTTTTGTAAGCAAAATGCAGTGAAATCAGAAACATTTATATTGGTTTCACTTAATGTGAAGAGAATATTTTTTTGCATCTAAAGAGAAAGATTCATGGCCAACTCTGCAGAACACCGATTTCTGACCTATATGCACTGCAAACATGAACCAGATAAAAACTAGAAAAGATGTTTTATGCTCATAACCGTCGATACATGCACATACAATTAAAAACCCAAAATGTTCTAGAGATATGACTGTGTAAATGCAGTCTTGCTTTCTACTGAAAGCCAAACCATGTTTAATCCGAGTGATATCCAAGAGCCCCACCTAAAGGAAAAACGAAACATGCAGTTGACAGTAGGGATGCTTGAAAACCATTAAAAATCGTTTTTTCCCCCCTTATCTTTCAGGGTCTGAGTGCGGCGACCAAAGACACTTACGACTCCCTGAACATGCAGCCCCTCCCGATCCCTCCTCGCTAATAAGGAGGAGCTGCGGCGTGTTTCCTGACTTTCTTTTGGATGTTCAGATATTCAGACGCTTCAAGCCTTTCTGCGACATTCTCCAGGCCCCTGTAAAATAACACAGACATGTACAGTAGTAATGCTTAGATTCATGTTACATACATACCTTGTATGTAACAAGCACCCCAATACATATAATACCTAAATTGTAGATAGAAACTTGAAATCCTATTATTTTTCAGACTTGCTAGTTCAGTTTCCCCCCTCCCCCAGAGACAGAGATATTTTACAGCTGTGGTTTTAATCTCAAGGCCTTTTCCCCCCGTTCCTATCCATGCACGTTTTATTTCCAAGAAGGCACCCTCAGACGAGATACCTTAAAACCGCTTATACATAAAGCTGTGTCCGTAAATACAAATGACAAGAAAATACTTCAGATCGAGAACCTAGCAACCAGGGAACTACAGTTCTTGGGATTTTGTTTTTAAGGCTGTTGGATTTCAAATCTTGTGAAATTGGTTAATATTATAAACAAATTCTATATGGCCCGACACAACAGATATTAATCTGTAAAGGTGAAAATTAACTGAATAAGAACACATCGATGGCTTTTAATATAATCTACCAAATCACACGTATTTAACTTTTGTTTTAAATAAATGTGAGAAAAAAAGTATTGAAAAAGAAAGCACGCATTTCCCGTCTTCATGAAGCAGGGGTGATTATTTTCACTCCTCCCTGGTGTTACGTGCCCAGACTGTGCTGGCACTCTGAACTCATTTCACATTTAAAAGAAATATAACCGGATGGAAAAAAATACATTTGAAAACATTTTTTTGTTATGTTGGCATGCAAAACATTTAGTATCATTAGGCTTACAGTATTTTGCAAGAGGACTATTAGACTGTTATTGGGAATAGTTATGGCCCATATTATTAACTAGCTAGTTTGAAACTTTAAAGGGCTTTGATACCGCATGAAGGAAAAGGGTTAGTTTTGTTTCCTATACTTCTAAGGGTTTTTGATGCAACAGGGAAATTATAATATTTGTTTGCATCCCGTTTGGCGCCATCGTGAGGTGAACAGGAGCGAATCAGAATAATACTCTGGTTTGTTCACTGTCAAAACGAGAGGAAGAAAAAATAGGTACTGCCCGTTCTGAGATCGGTTGTTGAGTACTGTGGCAGAGTGAAATGTTTCAGTGTACATATCCAAGATCCCCAAATTCTTAAAAAATGTAAATATTTTTCTTTAAAAGATTTGGGAGATTTTCCGCTTACCTTCTCCCCTACTTTCCTTTCTTACAAAAATGCAAAAACTCACGAGTGGTGAGCAAAACCATTGCTTCATTCTTATTTGCATATATATGCAGGCCACTGTAATGTCTGGAAGCAAGAACAACATAAAATACCATACCCACATATATTTATATCTGTTTTAATCTACTCTAACAGCTAATGTGTGTGCTGTTGGAGGCATTGAATGACTTTTTACGACTTTCCTCCCCTGCAAAAAATGACAAGAAAGGGTCTGAATACATCTACATATCTAAAAATCAGAAGAAATCACTGCACTGAGACTGAGTGGGAAGATGTCCTCACCACTGCCAAAAACGTTTGAGTTGTCAGCTTTTAAACTCCCCTTTCGGGAATCGGACATATTTCGGACTGCTGACAAGGTCCTGGTGTCACATCGCCACACTGCATAACCTGAAAAAAAAATCAATTTTGTCCTCGGAGAGGGAGATGCAGTAGTGTCATTCATCACAGCTTGATCTGTCATTCGGAGACATACTGTACTTTGTACAAGGATTTTTAAAGTTACAATATCCAGATCGAAAATAACTAAACTTAGAATACCTGGGACTTAAATTATTTTGCACATTCTGATTTTTGCTAGACAAAATCTGAAGCAAATGCTTAAAAGTGCTATGTGCTATGCTTTATGTGGGGTACTGCTCCTTTAGGTTTCCTGTTAAAGCAAAGCAAGCAGAACGCATTCATTCAAGGTAGGATTTGTCAGCTTGAAGTTTCTGCTACTCTGTGGTCAAAGGCTGAAAGCTCATATTTGAGCACAGGCACCAGCACAAAGAAAATTACTGGAGATGAAAATTAAGCATACAACCAGATCTGAAGACCAAAAAAAATCTAAAAGATTCCTTTCAATTTTCTTTAGAGGTTTTAAACTTGTATTCCAGTGCATTGAGAACATCCTTTGCTTTCGATGTAACTTTTGCTCTTGTAATACTGTGGGATAATGCAGTACAATCTTGGTGCTTTGGTCTCAAACAGGTCAGGAGACATTTTTAGGAGACTCCCGAAATGTTTAAAGCCATCGGTTATACGTGAAGAGGGAAATCTATTATAAGGTGGTTAAAGAACAAATAACCACATTTCAGGTAGTAATGAGAAAATGGGACCACTGCAATGCTTCTACTTTTGTATTTGTAATTTATCATTAGACTTCCTATGTAAATACTTCATGTGATTTACTGGTAGCTAAAATAAAAGTCTTGATTCAGATTTTTGCTTCATATTAAATGTATTTACACTAGGCTGTATTTTCTAAATGCGTTACACAATTGTAAGCAATTTCTTTCATTGTAATAGTAATGTTTTTCTTACTGTGGACCATAAAAGGTTGTACAGAAAAGTTTCATGTTCACATATTGCTGTTTTCCCCCTTGGCTGCTACATGTTTCTTTAAATACACTGCTATTTAAACCTAAGTTATGATGGGTGTATCAGCAGACTCTTGAGTAAGCAAACAATTTTACAGATTGTGAAACAGGACACTATTTAAAATGCTATTTATGTTCCTGAGCTTATGGAGGCACAGACTGATTTAAACACACAGTAATAACCAAAAATCCCCTTGGGCAAATTATCTGTAAACCTTACAATTGTGACCTTCACCTTCTTATTGCTGTTAACTGATCTCACAAAGCTCGTGAGATGTTTGGAGATCCAATTAAAGAAACTAGGAGACAATACAACATACAATGTTAAAACACTTGGAAAATGGTTTAATGATGTTTACAACAAAAGAGTACTGTACAGTTACAGTAAAAGATTATCTTTATATATATAAAAATTACAGCAGACAAATGCATCTACACAAATCTACCATTTATCCTGACTCACATAATTAAATTTCTACACAATCTTTCTGATCTAAGCCACCATGTTGTAGCGGTTTCAAACCGACAGCAATAAAGAACTGTGTCCCCACTCTTTGAATTAAAGACAGCCATGTAGCTGTTTTTGAAGCACTAATCCACATTTCTAGTGTGGTCTGGTATTTTTAGGTATAGTGTAAACTGTAACATACAAACAAAAAATTACAGAGGCTTCAAATAGAGAGCTACAGTGTATCAATCCCAATAGGAAGATAAAAGGGAACAAGTAATTTTTATCGATCCATTTTAAAAGGGGGACACAATCCTTCAGCTATAACTGCAGTGGGTGAAAATGCAAGTATACAGAATGCACATCCTGTGAAATCTACAACTGAATTAATATGTACACTTTTTTAAATCATGGTAACCGGGCAGTGAAAACTGATATCACGTACATTGACACACCCAAAACATACAAAAATACTATTTTTAAACTACCAAGAGTAAGACAGTTCATTATTTTTTCTCCATGCTATGACTGAAGAGAGCAATACACCAAAACGAACAAGAATTCTTAAAACGACACAAAACCTTTTAATTATCCCAGAAATATACCAAAATATACATCTAAGCTTTGGAATTACTGAGGTTAGACTAATGCAAGTGCTGGGTAAATGCATTTAATACACAAGCCTAAGGTTTTGCAAGAAGAAACAAATCTTTGGTATTTGCGTCAGGCGAACATTTAATATTTGGATTTTTGCTTTGGGATAGAGCTTGTAAGATCCTACAACCCCCCACTAAGTTAAAAAAATCTGTTAAAAATCCTTCATTTACCAATGCACAAGAACATTTACAGACATCTATCTAGCATAAGGTTGAGGACTACAATGCATAGTTGCACAGTGGAACAGTGTAGAAGGAACAAAGTAAAATAAAAGAAAAAACCCCAGAAAACAAAAAGCTAGCAGTTTAAGAACAGTTTCTCCTAAGCATTTGCAGTGCGCTCAGGAGAATACCTCAGTGTGTATTAATTCATATCACCCAGCCCACAAAAGGGTTAATATAAGTACCCATCAGAGTAGCCAATTACATCCCCTGTCTTCAGTCCCCCAACCAGTAGCAAAGCACCTGAGGGTCTGTCATTCTTAGGAGACAATCTCCTCCTTGATTAATAGGCAGCTTACACAGACATAGACAAAGACAGCCACATGTTAACCTGTAAATACTCTTGTAAAATCGTCAGTCAAAGATGTCATAGATCCTTTACGACCCAATGAAGGCTAAAGAACCAAGAGTTAACAAATGCATGGGAATTCTGAACACTACTTGAAATTTAATGGGTAAAAAATACTTGATCAATCTTAAATGTTACATATAATGACAAATTCTGCCTATACCCAAGGAGAGGTTAATTATGAATATTTATATACATCAACAACAGGCCTTTATTTCTTACGCAATCAGAATCACACAAAAACGTGTACCACCCCAGTTTGATACTCACGTGTCTCTTTGTAAGATAAAGGCTGATGTAGGACTGAAGACTGTTTAGTTCATACAATCAATAAGAAGTCTTTGGTTTTCTCTGAAGAAGTTGTCTGGGATCTACAACCACACTAGCAGTACAATCACACCAACATCTACATTCAAAAAATCAACAGGTAATGGAATAAGGATTGTCAAAAATTAAAACATAACTTTTGGTGTCACAATGTATTTTGAATAATGGAGAAAAAAGTGTCAATAGTATACATTTGGTGTTAAAGAGGTTGCTTTGAGAATAATTTGGAAAAATAACAGTAGAAGGTTGCGATCTACTGGAAAGTGTCGTCTTGAAGCTGCTTACTAGACACAAAACTACTTGGGATGAAAAACTACATATAAATTAATCAATAATGCCAGAAGAATATGGGTCAGCAACAAGTTCTTAACATTAAATAAAACCTAAAATTGCAGTATTCCCCTTTAAATAAGACATTCATGAGTTTGTGTGTTATAACTGACTGTACTGCTGCATGGTACATATATCTCCTAGACTTACAAGTGTACACTAAGCGGACATGAATAAGCCACTCTGAGGGGTTATTTTTTTTTCTTTAGAAGATTAAAGCAAGTTCACTCTGTCACGAGTTAGAAATGAGGTATACAACAGCTCCTGTACCTGTAGTGGATACACCAAAGAACCCCACCACACCCATCTTTAGTACACAGAGAAAGAAAAGAAACCCTCCTAATACAAACCTCTTAATCTGCACATTTATATTAAATAAATAAAATGAACATAGATTTGGAACTACAGACTAGCACACAGACACTGTGGCTATTCCATTCACAGGCAGATACTAGAAAATACAATCCTGCCCAAAAGCTAGTGTTTCACTCTATCCTCTAGAAAATCTCATCAAAATGATTTTGGGTACAACTAGACACACACGAAAGCCACAATTCTAGAGTCTGCTCTCTGGCTGACGAAGTAACAACTGGCGTCAAGATAATGAAACCAAATAGAGCTAACTGAAAGGAATAGAACATTTCTTAGTTTGTATGAAAGCACAGGTATTTCTTTTTCTTCCTCTGTGTTTCTGTAGGAACATTTTTTTTCTTTAATAAAATCTTTGTTCCAAGTGCTCTTCTTATGCAATTTCATCATCTCATCATTCCTATGATCTACAAGACAACATGTTTTAAAAAGTAAAGTCATCTATTACAATTACTATTAATACCACCTTCACATATTGTCTAGAGGAAAAAAGAACATCAGTAAAGCTTTCATAACAAAAATGCCAATCCTCTAGGCAAAAATAATAAAGTCTAACTTAAAACTCAAAAGATGGGAGAACAAGTTCACTGGTTCATTATCAAAAGCAAAATGTAAGCATTTTACAACTCATAAAAAAGATCAAGAACTTATAACTTAGTTTATCTGTTGATATGTTTGGTATGTATATAAAAAAGTATGAAGCACATCTTTATATTCTCTTAGTGGGCAAAGGCTGAAATACCAGTGCCAACATCACACACTCACACAAAATATATATTAAGATTCATTTTGAAGCGTCAAGCTTGATTAGATAAACCAGTGATCTTGTCGTCTGTTTCGATGATAAAATCAAAATGATTGTTAACCACTCATCTTAGAAACGTTTGCACAACAATACAACACAGAAAAAGCTGAAGATCAGGTGCTTAGAAGTCCATGACAGTCCACTCAGAAGCACCTTTTAACCAGGTACACCAGTAAGGCACCCAGGGAGGAGTGCCAGAAACAGCCATTTTACAGTAGCATTTTAACATCCGGTCCACCTTTCAGGTGCAAGGAGCAGGTTCTTATTTTATTTTTTTGGTCTAGACAGAAGTATTTAGCATTGCTATCATAAAAGGAAGTTAAAAAGTTATTGACAATAAGCATGACAAACCACTACATTCAATTTATAACACAAATAAAAAAAAGTCCCTATGTCCTTACGAGATAAATATTTCTGTAACATCAACACCCACCTCCCCCAATCCCCTCCCTATACCAGTTAACCAAAAGATAATTGAAGAGAAAGGAACTACACAAATACAAATCGGGACTAATAAATGGCAAGATGATGCATGCTCTGTATCAGGCCACATAAAAACCAACTGAGCTGCAGAGGAAAAAGGCGTTTGCTTTGGCAAGTAGGATCACAAAAGAATTATTGTTTAACAAGAGAACACCCCAAAAGTAGTAGTATTTATCAATATTATTTCCTATAAACTTTTGTTTTTTTCTTAAAAATGTACAGCAAAGTCACATAAGTTATTAACAGTTCATCTACATTCTAGAACTAAAATGGTCGCGGTAACATAGTTTTACAGCTTTATGTTAAAGTGAACCTTATTTGCTAAGTGATGCTGAGGTATTTTATTAAAGTAAAAAAAATTAAGTAACCAAGCAAAAGAATATGCAAGCAAAGAATGTGCTGTGTACAACAAGGGCTTTTAGACACTTATATTAGCTGCTTGTTTGAACATTATTAGTAATACTAAATGACTAGGTACAGTGTAACACCTCGAAAAAAAACTAAAGACATTGATCCATTTTGGGCCATTTCCGCAAATATAAAAAAAGACACTTTGGGAGAACTATGTGATGTCTGTTGTGAAGGCAGCAGATTAATGACTCATTTAAAAAAGATAAAATGGAAGAGTAAAATTAAAAACTGTGAGGATTTTCTGGTTGAGTCCTTTCACAGTTTCTTGGGCCTCTTATATCATCCATAATCAGATACTGGTAACGTTCCTAAAATTTATATAAAAAATAAAGTTTGATATCTTAAAAGATAATAGCACTAGCACAGTCAACTCCAGAGCTGTGACTGTTTATTAAAGCAGAAATGATCCAAAATTAAGCATTGTGAAGACCCCTGTATTCAGCAACAATCAGCAAAAAATAAACAAAAATTTTGTTGATGAATCCTTATCTGTAGAGTGGTGGGATAAAATGGTTCCATACTGTACCTAGTTTGAATTTGTTAAATCTGTTCTCAATATACCTGCAGTAAAATCATATGACGACATTTCTATTGGAAAGGAAGCCAGATTTCTTGTAGATTTTACACCACTGTAATATAAGAAGTTCGTTGTGTGTATGGGTTAGCTTTAATAATTGTCACTTCATTGAAAATCTTGATTTTCATGATTTTTACTGTATGATTTATAAATCGCGTGACAAACTGTCTGGCTATTTTTGTTTTTCAAAGTGTTGGACCATTTAGAAAATTCGAATGCTGAAAGCCCTATAGGTGAACAGTAATTCTGCCAGAAGAAGCAGTTTTTTTAAAGAAGGATAAGAGCAGCAAATGGGGGATTTTTGTTCCGTCAGTAGCATCCAAAATCCTCACTGCACATGAACTGCACTTAATACAAACTATCTCATTGGTACAGCAGCTTGCTAGAAAATGACTTTGGTTCAAGCTTTGTAAGATGGCTGGAGATTGTTAGGGGAAACAGCCACACTAGATCTCTCATTCTACAGTCCATTTTCCTAATTAAAAGGATGAACATTGCTAGTTTCACCAGGAAAACAATGAAATCTGTCGTTTTAACCATCAAGAAAAAACTAAAATCATAACCATAAGCCCTAAAATTATCAGTACACACCCTCTCCGACCATCCAACCATTTTTGTGAGATCTATATTACACCATTTATTAAATATACAAGAGACAGGGGACAAAATTGTTTTGCAAGACTTGTCTCGGCAACCTTAAACATTCAAAATACCTGACTAAGCTACTAAAGCTGTTCAAACCATTTCCAATAATTCAGATGCCAAACGCGATCCTAGAGAGTCGGGTTTTCATCACGGTGCACAAAGTGCTCAAGCAACACAAGTTCCCCGCTTTCCTGTAATTTCAGCATCAGGTCAACATTTCATTGCGTTTTCTTGCATTTAAAAAACTCCACCTCACTGAAGAATGAGGAAATAGAGATACTATTTTCCCTTAACTATAGTGAAAAGTCTTTGGATATTGAAAATATTGCATTAATTTCTCTAAAGTAAGCCTCTTCTGACAGCTGTATACTTATGCTATATTATAGTTATTAACAGTAGATTCAGGTAATATTTTTGGTATACATAGGGAAGGAGCTACCACTTTTTCAAATGGGGTTGCACATTCTATTTATAAAGATTTTATAAATGATATATATATAAATAAAGTACTTATAGAGTGACAAATGTGATGACAACCAACCTTTACTGCAGGCTAATTGCAGTTAGTTACAACACCCTAATACTGGCCATATCCTGTTCAACACTCCTAAACTCTAAGTTTATTTGCAGAAGGCAGCTTGTTCAATCTATAAATACTTTAAAAATCTATAACAACTGGGTTATTATCCATTTCTGAAGTACAGTTTTGCAACCCCTACACTAAAGTGTGACCCGGAAAGAAAACAAATGTCTCTCAAATTAAAGAAAATGACAGAATCATTTTTCCAAAGCAAGGGAACTGTAGATCTATCCAGTTTCGTTTTTGGTACAGATACTGTGCACATGTAGAAGGAAAAGTCTATAATTTAAATGCACAAAAATAAAACATATTTCCTTTCAATGTTTACCTCTTAAACAATAGCCATCACTGAAATCTCAGTCACTTTCGTCATTTTAGTCTCCTTTCTCTATCGCAAAGTGAAATTAGTTAAAACAGCCGCATTTCTATGTTTAACACATTAGCACTCGAGATCTAAATGTGCTGAGAAATGTACAGCTTGAGAATTTTGAGGAGTCCACTTAAGTCCCAGCAACACAATACTAACTTTTAAAGTGTGCAAAGCACCCACCAACTGAAACCTAATTCCAAAAGCAAAGGTAATTACAAGTGTGCATTTAACGTTTGCTCTTCTTCCTGAAAAACACAGCTAGAAATTAAATCAGCAGCTAGCTATATCAAAAGCAAAACTTAGAACCTCAGCTACCACAAAAATAGGCTGATTCTACTGGGATCTTCTGACCCCCCTTTGGCAAACACTCCCCTCATCAACTTTTCCAAGTCTAACTTCTAGTCATGATCACAAAGGATTGCACGTATGCGGATTTTGCATACAACTCCTACAAAAGCTTACCGAAAAAATTAACTTATCAGTGTAATTTCTAGTAATCCACTTGTACAAAAGGCTGCTTAATCAGTGTTTCCAGCAAGACAGACAGAAAAAGGAAAACCAGTTAAGTTGCATTATTCCTTTACACATAAACCAGAATATAAACAGATCTAATCAGAATATTATTTCCTAGGTCAGTTTGACAGCTTCCTAACCACATTTAAGATCTCAGGGATTACGCAACTTAAAAGAAAATAATTCTCTGAACAGTATGCACACGTTAACTTAAAAAGATCTGCAAGTTTAAACCTGCAGAAATTAAGACAAAAACTCAGTACTGTTTTTTTTAAAGTATAACAAACACCATTAATAAACAAAAAGGCCTGTACAACAGACCTGGGATTAGAAATAAAATAACCAATACCCTACTAGAACAGATAAGCAAAAAAAACACCATTCTGCAATGTTAACGAATAACAAATTCAGTATCATAACTCAGCCAATAAAGTCTTAATTTTTTGGTTAGAATTGTCTATGTTAGTTGAAGAATGAATAAGGTAAGTCCCAGAAAGACAAAATCAAAAACGTTTTCATTCTGCAAAGTCATCATTCTGCTTTTGAACAGGTGTGCCGGAAACAGAAAAGCACACCGCTTTGTTGAGATGCTAAGTGATCCTGCTTGGAGATGACGTTTCGACAAACAAATAAGGATCACTGCAACAGAGGTTTAGTCTCTTGCAGCGCTAACGGTGGACTAACGTACGCAGAGTTGCAAACCCAAGGGAGAAGGAAAAGGCTCCTGGCACAGCACACAGGCTGAAGTAGGGGGGCAACGGAGGGTAAGAGGGATAGAGAAAATAGTAAAAATGCTTTGTTTTTTAGTGGGTTTCTTTTCTTTTTGGTGGCAGCAAAAGAGAACAATCAATTGAAAAGGACAAAAAAAAATAAAAGCAGAGGAGCCTTGAGTTCACTGAGCCTTGGAGGCCGTAGTGATGGTGGTGGCCGCGGCAGGCCCGGCGACGGAGGTGACCGCGCTCTGGTTGGACTCGCCTGCCGCGGAGGTGACCTGGAGATTGAGCGCCTGAGCAGAGGCCCCCGCAGAGGCTGCCGCAGAAGACACCAGGCTGACCGGGTTGCTGGTGAGCAGAGAGAGGTTCTGGGGATTGAGGAACAGCGGGGCAGTCACCAGGTTGCCGCCTGCATTGGCATTAGCAAACAAGAGATTTCCACTGCCATCCAGGGAGGTTATTGGAAGAGTCCCACTAGATGCAAGAGCTAAAGGGAGAAAAGAACACAACATTAAAAAAAAACATCAGAATTAAACTTCACAATGATGTAATTGTTATAGTGGGACTGAAAGCTGGTTTAATCAAAAGCATTCAGTATGTTCAGCATACAAACTGTATCTAAATGTACAAATTCTAAGACTGCCAAATTGCATATTGCATGTCCATTTTATTTATTTTTCTGCATAGACAGTATTTACAGCTAGTCACACATCAGCAATCGGCATTTTGCTGATCCCCTTCTGTTCAAGAAAAATAAGGTGTTTCCTGCAGCTTCTTAATAGGCTCAGGGACGTCTAACTCGGGATGTTAGACCAATCCTCCACATACAATCTCCCCAGCTCCTTCAGAATACATGGCCTGTACTTATGAGCCGCTTTCCTTTCTTCATATTCCATTGTACTGATTTTAGGAGATTGTGATGGCCAACCAAGACCATTGATATTATTCTTCCTCCTCTCAATTATATAATTATAAGGACACCAAGACCTGAAAATGCAAAATAGCTCCAAAGCCAAAATAATAAATCTCCATGCTTCACAGAGGAGATGATATTCTTTGTCAAGCAAGTCATTGTTTCTGCGCCACATGTATTGCTCATACTTGGCATCGCAGGTTTGAACCAGCAACACAGAGCCCAGTCAGCTCTTGGAGCCAGCATCTTCATTGCTTAAGTTTCTCAGGAGCCACCCATTCATTTTTGGAGTTCCTGTATGCATTTCATAGTCAATGGAATCATGCTTAACCAAGGTGTGGCATTTCAGAATTTCATTACCCGGAATATGTCAAGGGTTTTATGCAACTTTAATTTTAAAAAGTATTGGAAGACAAACTGAAAAAGTAACTCACAGACCTTGAATCGTCGCAAGGGTGCTGTTGCTCATCAAAGCTGGGCTTAAAGCACTGCCAAGGGTTCCTGGATTGAGGCTAAGTAAGGCACCACTGAAAGAAAAAAAATTTCTGCAAGGCCAGCAGTGCAACAGGATTTTTGTGAGATTATTTCCTGATGTTCTTTCAATATCACATGCTTCCTCTACATTTTAATGTTACAATCTCATCTCATTAAAAATGCAATGACACTGATGCCAAAGCACAAACATTTGATAGAATTCAAGCTTGATATCATTGTGACGAATAAACTAGCAAAGCAATGGAAATCTTTCTCTACTCAAATGAAAGCCTCACAAAATCACAGGGAAACTGAAAGTGGAAACAATACAAGCACCATGATTTTAAGATACATTTTTATTTTCAGTTCCCATCCACAAATGCAAAACTGTGTGATTTTAATGAGTGTGATTTGCTTATCTGAGAATCAATCCTATACACTCACTAACAACACCAATCCAAAATAAACTTTAATACAGTAACAAGGTTTTCAACAGCATCAGTGATATGGTGTCTAAAACTGTTAAATTACCAAGGGCACAAATCAAATAATTAGCTTGTCTTTTTTTCCCAGGGAAAAAGGACAATCTCACCAGCAGTGGAATTTTAGAAAGAGAGAAATTACCAAAATTACTGTTCAAAGCAAAACTGGGATCCTTTTGCCACAGACTATGGAAATCATTTTTGCTAGCCGAGTATTATTGTTTATATCAGGAAAACACCCATCAAGTAAGAGTGGACCGCAGACGTCTCATGAATTATTTGCTCTGTAAATATGAATGTTTAACAGTGTTTGCAACCATCTGGTGTGAACAGCAGCTCTCAGCAAGCTCGGTTCACACAAGCATAACCTGGGTAAGGGGCCGTCCAAAGGCGCCGTCCTTCGGATGAGACTTAAAAGCGAGGTCCTGACTCTCTGTGGTCATTAAAACTCCCAGGGTGTTTCTCGAAAAGAGCAGGGGTGTTACCCCTGCGTCCTGGCCAAATTTCTCCCTGGCCTTTTCCAATCATGGCCTCCCAGTAATCCCCATCTCTGAACTGGCTTCATCACTCTCTTCTCCCCCCCCAATAGCTGGTGTGTGGTGAGCGTACTGGAGCATCATCCAGGTGGTGCTACACACTGGTGGTGGTAGTGGGATTTCCTATTTTATGTGTTAAGCACTTGGAGATACTGCAGAAAAGCACTACGTTAGAGTAAGGACTGTTAAGAGACAGCGTCTTACCCTGGCGAAAACTGAGAGGATGCCATGAGGCCCGGGTTGAGCCCAGCTGCGGCGGCCATAGCCGCCAGGCCTGCGTTGGTAGGCAGCTGTGTGGCAGCTCCCTGCAAAGCGGCCGACAGTCCCGGCGCGGTGACCATCACCTGGCCGCTGCCGAGGGGAGAAGACATGGAGGAAGGGGCCTGCGTGGTGGTGCTGGTCTCCTGCGAGCTCGGGGACTCGGTGATCGGAGCGTGGAGAGACGTGGGAGAAGGGCTCAAGGAAGGCGAGGTCACAGCAGAGGAAGCAACAGGTGTTGTCGAGATGACGGACGCAGTGTTTGTAGTGGCTGGCCCAATTCCTGTTGTGCCTGAAATAATAAGCGGTGGAGACACAGCCCTTCAATAACTACAAAGCATACGAATAGGCACAACATTCGCAAGTAAAAACAGGAAAAAAACACATGCTTCAAAATGCTGCCTTAAGGCAATGGGATCCTGCCAGCTGCTGCTCTACAACTGTAGAGGCACTGTGGTAGTAAAGCTCATTAAACTCACTATTCACTATTATTATCCACAGTACCACCATCGAGTTACAAAGACTCATTTTCTCTCACAATACTGTGCTGAATTGGCTTGGCTTATGGTCGGTCTCCGAGCAAGTTCCCTGAGGCCTTCATGTGAGCAGATACAGAAATTTAACTGCCAGTGTCCGCCAGTAGATGTCAATGTTTCTTCTCAGATTTGGGACTTTTGTCTATTGACCAAGAATTAGGTCTCTTTTTGTGTCCTTTAAACAATGTGTTTTAGCTATATTATACCCAACTGTGAGAAACTGAGTGGTAACATCTTTTTTTATCCCCTGCTATATATATCTCACCTTACGTCAAACTACATTGTTAGGTTATTAAATCATCAAATAGCCCAGCTGTTTTACAAAGACATCAGTGTTGAAAGACTGTACAATACTATAAAACAACGTAATTGCTATAATTATACACCATTATCAACAATCTACATCTAAAAATATGTATTAAAGTTTAAAATAATTTAAGCATATATACAACTACGTAAATTAAATAAAAAAAATAAGTTCTGAACTTTTTTAATTTTTATAATGTACAATAACAAAAATTCATAAGTTAACAAAATATAAATGACGGTGATAATAAAAATCGTACCTGTGAAGCCAAGATTAGTTACAGTCAATGTAGTCGGCGTATTACTGGTCACAAGGCTAGCAGTGCTGGGCACCTAGATAAAGGAAAAAGAATTAGACTTGGAGCTCAATATTCTGAAGCTTGTACTCTTCGGAATCAGATCAGATTACCTTCCTCATTTGGGAACAATCCTACTGTACTAAATTTAGCTGAAAAACTACTTTAAGTGAAAAAAGCCCCACTTGGAATACACTTTTTAATTGTTTTCAGTTGCAAATACACTGGATTCTGTGGAGTCAGTGCAACAAACAATTTTTATGCCACAAACTTGGAACCAACAGTCCGATTCCCATATTAACCTTACACAACGTTACAACTATGGGTAAATATAGAGGGCATTTACAAACTAAAGCATACTGCTTGCACTTTCCAATATACATGATACGCCTTTTATTTTACTAACTGTAAGGATGAAAACTTTTAGGTTATACAAATCATAAATATATGTATATGCTGCTGGAAGTATCAAGTATTTGTTCAGATTTCAGATTCTTTAGTTTGCTTTATGTTGAAAATGAAGTGAAGTGTTATGAAATTATTCTTGCAGCTTAAAGTGCCTTCTTTATGAAACGTAGAGAGAATACATTAGATTTCACCATCCTGGGGTTTTTTGGTGTTGAAATCAATTACTATGTGTAGTTATTACACCATTCATGAAATTATATTACAAAGTGTTCACTAAGACTACTCTAGACCCAGGACGAGCATTCCGGGTAAACCGAGTTAAATCAGCTTGTTAAGAGTTTAATTGGACTTATTCAACAGTTTCTTCAAGCTTTTCAGCTGCTGGTGTTTTAGACCTAAAAAGGCTACAGATATACCACTCCTCCAGGAACAGGATTGGTCACTGTGATTCTAGACCAGGAAAACTGAGACAAAGACCATGAGTGTTAACTTAAGAAACAGAAGTAACTCTTTCAGTCACGGAGCACATTTAGGAGAGAATTAGTGTTTTGCACTGCAGTCTTCCTTTGCTCTCTGTACCTTGTGTCCAGTCACTATAAGATCACCTTGCTTCTCCATGAGACACCCAGACAGGGAGAGAAGCTTGGGGTCAGAGTGCAGGATCAGCCATTTGTATGGCAACCCTGGAGCAGTTGGGGTGAAGGGGCCTTGCTAAGGGGCTCAACAGAGTAGGATTCCTCTGCCGGCTGCGGGATATGAACCAGCAACCTTCCAGCCACAGGCACAGATCCTTAGCCACAGAGTCACTACCATAATACTGTCTTTAATCTAGCTCAGTCTGAGTGTCCATCCTCTACTGTTAACTTAACATCATCTTCTGAGCACCCCACTGTTTACTCAACAAATTATGGTTATTATCTATTGTCCATTTGTGTCTCTGCTTCTGCTAGATGAAATAAGGCTAAAGTAACTGCTGGAACCAATTTTTTTTTTCTTATGGACGATCGTAAAATCGTGGCTTTGAAAAGGAATTGCTGATGTAGCTTGCCATCCATTCTGACAGGAGTTAATTTTCCCCCACAACACACAATGTTTTTTTTTTTCCATGAAAAAAAATCTTCATAAGAATTCTGACTTCTTAGAACATTCCACTAATATTTATCAACGGAATGCATGTAATTACATTCTTCCCCCATCGAGAAGAAATGAGACAGAAAGTCTTGATCAGTATAACATATGCAGTCAGCCAGGCAGTTAAAAGCTAGGGTTCTTACCATTGTGTTTGGGTTGGGGAAGATTGCTTTGATAGGAGTGCTGCTTGTACTGCCACTGCTAGGTGGGTTGATCCTTTTTTCTTTCTGCCGTCGATTACAGAACCAGACACGGATTACCTCCTTCTCCATGTTCAACTGGTCGGCTATCATTGTGATCTCCTCAGAGGTAGGTTTTTGGTTCTGCTTGAAAATGTAAAAAAACCACACATTCCCTTTGAACATATGGATGCCAATATCTGCACTACACACAACAGATTAAAAACACCAAAAGTCTTTCTTAACTAAGTTCACGCAAGTCATTAAATACATATAGTTGTGTGTAATAAGCCAACATATTGTCTTATGAATATATAGTACACGGCCCTAAACATGAGCATATACCATTTAAACATACTTCAAGGCATTTTTACTTCTTTATTATTTCAGGCTTTAATCACTTCTAAAACCCACTCGGCATGTTACAGAGAGCAAAATGTATGTTCTGATATTACAGCAAGTGAGATACAGCCCTATTCCTGAAGGCAGCGCACTCTGGTCTCTGTAATCCCAGACTGACCCTCCATATTTTTGGAGTAAACACTCACGTTTTTATTTTTTATCAGACCAGACTCATGCAATGCCAAACCTGTACTAATAAAAACGGAAAATAATACCTATTTGTGAACTGCAAGGACCTTATGAGGACCATAACTGTAATTTAGTCATTTAATCGCTACTACTGTGATGACTTAAGGAGCAGGAATGTGAAATATCACTGACCTCCAGAAAGCTCTTTTCTAAGGCCACTCTTATGTTGGTCTCAATGCTGGTGCGTTTCTTCCTCCTGCGGTTTAGCCCCTCTATTCCCAGTCCAGGGGAATTCAGGGCACTTGGGCTGGACAAAGCTTGGTCAGAAGTCAGGTTCTCTGTAATGGGATAGGCTCACATTCAACAACAATACTTCGCAATTTTTCAGGATTAGTATGAGATCCAACCAACCTGAGACTAACCTGAGAGTTACATCAGCAAAATGCAGACACTATTTCTTTCAGATAAAGTTAAATATTTTAAACTATTCATTGTGTCATGAATTTGTTCAACTAATTGGACGAGACTAGCTTCATTCTTTGCCTATATTTGGTTGTGTTCTATGGTTGTCTGTGACATTTACAAGCATTATAATTCTCTGGAAGCTCCCAATCTTTATAACATGCCAACAGTAGCGAAAGCCCTAAGGTGCTAAACTAAACCTAACTCACAAATTTGTGGAAGCACATTATAAGATACATGCATCAGTGTTCTTTTGAAGCATGCTCAGAAAAATGGTAAACGTGAATCTATTTTGTTCTTTTCTATTTTTTCCACTATCTAAAATCTAAGGGAAAAAAATTCAACATATTTCTTAATTGCTGGACATAACAGTGAGGTCATACGTCCTATAAATCATGCACCTGTTAAATTTAATTACTGTTAAAACCCAGCTGGTGTTATTCAGGATAATGTCATTTTATAAGGCAGATAAAACACTGGCAGACAGAAGACAAATACAAACCTGCATCATTCAACCACTTTTCAAGCAATGGTTTTAGCTTGCACATGTTTTTAAAGCTGAGGTTCAAGGCTTCAAAGCGAGAAATCGTTGTTTGGCTGAAATCATTTCCATATAACTTTCCCATGGCAAGCCCAACATCACCCTGTCATAAAGAAAGCACATAAGTAACCGGTATGAAGGCAATGCTTAAGGGTCACACTGAGAGAAGAGGGTACAGGCAATTATATTAACCCTCACTGACAAGTACGTTCTTTCAGACTTTAAACCGCAATGCTGCTTTGTTGTAATTAAAACAATTTACGTCTCAGCGAGGCACCTGTAATTGACCACAGCTTTGCCAGGACCCCTTCATCACCAAGCAGCCGTGCTGAGCTGAGCTAAACTGACCTGAGTGAATCCCAGCTTGATCCTCCTCTGCTTGAAAGTCTTAGCAAACTGCTCCAGCTCCTCCAGGTCACTGGGCTCCTCCAGGCTGGGAGTGTCCAATCGCTTTGGTGTCGTCTGGGTCTGTGGAAGTGACTGAATGGGGGTCGCCGCTATTGTGCGTGTCGGCGTCGCTGGCTGCACAGAAAAAGTCATCAATTGTCAAAGCTCTGCACAAGCTCGGTGCCACAGATATCAAGGCCAGCCTTAACCCTGGTCAGCAAAATCATTATTTTTGATTACACTCCACTTAGGACTTCATGGCCTGTTTTCTCTTAAAACCTTTTACAAGGCAGCTTTAAAAACTAAGAAAAGGGCAGGCTTTTACTCTGAAAGGATGTGGGACCCTGATACAAACTACTCAGCTATGTCGCAGATGCTGACATTTTGGAAGAGGCCTGGGTAACTGCTGGATCAGATGCTCGGATTTATTAACCAAACAAATCACAAAAACTAAAAAAATAAATTAGACATACAGTTAAAATGTAAATCTAAAGTAGCTTCCACACACAACCTATGAACTACCCCATTCCCCTCAAGATGGGAACTCGATTACTCTTTTAGGTTTTCTATTGTATACTATGGAAACAAGTGTCCCCAGCTCTCTTCTATACGGTAAGCAGGCCCGCACTAAGACACGCTGAAATGCTTCTGGGAATACTTCTCTGACCTGTGTAGTGAGGGTGATGCTTGGCTGTGACTGCAGGAGGTTGGCTTGGCTTTGTTGAGGTAGTTGAGTTAGAAGATTTTGAGCTTGCAGGAGGTCTAGTAAAAACAGGAAGAATATATAACTTTGCAAGGTTATATACTTACAAAGATACATTTCCAAAAACAAAATAAGAACAGTCTTTTCCCCATCATTCTCTTTCAAGTATCTGCTTGTCCAAAATCAATTCTACAATAACTGACAAAAAGAAATACAAGCTCAAAGTCAGAAAACTTGATCTATGAGACCAGACAGATACGTTCTCCAAAGATGAATAAAAAACATCATTTGATTTTACTTTTTCGTTAACGTAAAGATGACTGTGGATATTTTTCTGCAAGTGTGTCTGGATCCACGGAAATAACAGGTGAAGTTATTATAAAAGATGTGACCGTTCCAAGTCGCACGTTTGCTGTACGTACTCTGCTGTCCCGGTGCGGTCTGGGAGATAATAAACTGCGCCGGCTGCAGCTGAGTCGCTATCGGGTGGCCTGGCTGCACCAGCACAAACTGCTGCAGGTTCAGGTTTTGATGCTGTAACTGCTGCAACTGCTGCAGGTCCTTGAAGAAAAAAAGATCAGGCAAATAAGAAGACTGCAGCACCGACTTCTCTGCACGTAACGTCTGATGGTAGCAGTTTGTCATAACTTACTTTGTTTCTTGGCGACACGTCTGCTTTTGTTTTAGACAATTTGTGTGACCAGGATAATTTTCCACCATTTGCCTTCCAGAATGCACTACAACACGATGACTGGCTTATTTTATTTATTAGGCAAATCATCTTTCAAAACTGACTTTCAAGAGAACGTAATTAATGTTATTGCTGGAGGTCCACTGTGGTGATCGTTCACCTGCTCTTACAAAACCATGAAATGGTATGTGATTTTTTTTTTAAAGGTTCTTCAACATGAGACTGATTTTGAGAAAAGCCAACTGGGTTATGTTTGATAAATATCAGATCCAAGTGCAGTAGATGTTTATTTTTCACATTTATAAAAATACAATACCAATAGGTTGTGTTTATTTAATGCAATAAAATGCACCACTAGTGTCAAACATGTTTGCATGGGAACCTGTTAAATAAAAGCTGATGTTTCTTGAAATTAACAGGATGTGGAGAGCACTCCGAGATGCTAAAAATTAAAGGAGTTTTCTAGAAAGTGACCTATACAGAGGGCTAAAGAAAGTGATATTACTATTAAATCAGGAATGTTATTTCTCTAACACTCTAAATCTAAATGGAAGTGTTCTTTAAGTGTACTATATTTGAAAGTATTTCACTTTAGCATGTGACTTGAAAAACAGATGTGCTTTTTTATTTGAAAAGTCTGTTTAGAAAGAAATTCCTGTATTGCCAGTTACACTGACAAAGTTTGGGGGTGCTACTGCAAAAAAATACAGTAGTATTAGTTAGTATAAGAAATTAGTTGCTTTTAAAAGTGACTATTTAATGACATCACCAACATGACCCATCTTAAAATTGCAGATGCAAGTCTTGAACCAAAAACACTAATGAGGAATAAGCCTTGAACTTGTTGCTTCGATAAAATAATGCAGCTGGGAGCTCTGCATTTCAAAAACATCTTGACATTTCCCTAGTGTCCCCAAGACACAAACATGACTTCCCCACAGACTGAATCACAGCTCAGAAATAAGCAGTTTCCGCACAGTGCTCTCAATAGCACAGAGAATGTCTCGTGCTACTCCAGAAAGGAAAACCCACGACTCTGCAAGTCAAAAAGGAATTGGCATTACTAAACTGGCCAGCACTGCGCGGTGATCAAGTCCGTCCTGTTGTACACTGGAGTGAGGTACTCTACCCCACTTGCTCTCGCCCACTCAGCTGTTTTAGAGGAAACAGGCCTTGATGGGGGGAGATCCCTTTGGTGGACTGGTGTCCCTTCTTCGGGTTGCAGAAATATGGAACAAGCTACCCTGCCATGTTGTTGAAGTCAATACCCTGGCTTCTTTGAAGAAATGGTTGCATGGATCCCTTGGATTAAACAACAACTAAGTACCAACTGGGACAGATTGGCCGAAGGGCCTCCTCTCTTTTACAACCATTCTTGTGTTCTCTAGACCACTTTACACTATGGAAACTAGGAGGAGCTCTGGCCCGATGAGCTACTGTGGGCTCTGGTAAGGACTTTACCTTTTTATTTAAACTGGCACGACACAAAACTGCACAAAACACACAAACCTAAGTGTTTAACAAAACATCCACTGAAACATCAGTGGCATCCAGGAGCAGAGGAGAAACCAGATCTTACAGGTGTTATCTGGATGGGCTGTGAAATTGGGATTTGTGTGATCGGGGTTGCTGCGGATGCTGAAATCGTAGCCCCAGTGGTGTTATGCTGTTGACTGGCCGAGTGCTGCACTGCTGCTGCCAAGAGTTGAGCCTGTGCTTGTTGAATTAACAACTGCTGCTGTGCTGGCGTCAGAGTTAACTGGGTAAAAAAAAGAGAGAGAGAAACTGCAATAAGACACATTGCATTTGTTAAGCAGTTCATGCATTAGAGCTTAGAGGAATGTAAACACAATACTTTAGATGTTACAGGCAATACCGTATATGACATGTCTCATGAAATTGTGCTATTTTGATCAAGGTTTCTTTTCTGTGTAAGATTTTGGGAACCAGGTGTGTAGTGTGTAGGATGGGTAGAACTTGTGGCACATGTCATTTTTAAGCTCTTTTCTTTGGGGTGGGCAATATATAGCAAAATATCCAAAGCATAACGCATGTTAATACAACCTAAGAGGATAAAGCACTCATTTAGCAATCCAGCAAATGTCTAGGACGGGCACTGGCCGTGAGCTGGGGTGGTGCTGTAAACCAGTATACAGACAGTATTACGAAGAACAAGAAATGAGCTGGCTTTCCTCTGTTTCAGCCTTCTAGCTTGAAGGCTTTTCAGATGTTTCTTATCAAGTCTGTTCTCATGACTAGGACACAAGACTAGTGCTACACTAGAATTATGTAAAAAGCAGATGGTAATTGTCAAAAAATATCTAAAGTATTTTAATGAGCCAACAGATCAAAATACTATTCAAAGTACTTTAAAATTGTAGCAATTAGCAATAATGGGACTGTTCAAAGCAAATGTTGAAATTTTAAAATATTTAAGAATGCACAAGAAAATCAACATAAAAATGATTTAAAAAGATGTTTCAATGTATGTCACAAGCACAGCACAATAATTTCCTTAAAGATATAAATAAAGACAACTTGCGACGTGGTATACATACATAATGGTCATATTGCCCAACCCTATTACAGATCATAAATACCGCAGTTATCAGACTGAGAAGAATGACTTAAGGCAACACTAAATTTAGCAATTGCATTTTTTTTAATTCACCCTGGGAATTTCATATTTTAAAACAGACAAAGAAAGGAAAACAAGCGTGGTTCCTGATAAAATATCTTACTTCCATTTTTTTCAAACTAGCATGTTATATATAGAAAGTAGCAGTTTAAAAGAACTTAATGCAATGGAAGTGTGTGAAAGTTTATCATCTTCATAATAGGCATGGTTTCAATGTCAATGTGCGCATTCTGACATTACACATTTATTAAACACATATAAACAGAGACATTAGCAGAGATGCAGACGAATGCATAGTGTGATGTAAGGAAGACATTAAAATAGAAAAACACAAAATGGCTAATTAGAATAAACAAAACCATACTCTCCTAATAATTCTAGGTGGTCGAGAGTTTTCAATTTACTTCTAACTCACTGGCATAACATAAGGTGTGACCAAAGGCTATTTTTACAAATAATCCATGCATCATTACATGGTTTAAATCTACATTATACAAAATAATAACCAATGTTTTATTTGCACTTCTAAGCAAAAAAGAAATGCTGATTAATTTATTTTTATCGGCAAATCTCATGAATGCATTTCGAGCTAAAAATAATTTCTAAAAAAAGAGAAGAGCAGCATTTTAAAATAGACCACTAACTACAAAAAGAGGCACACTACATAGTGGAAGACCTTTGCATCTGGCACCAGCAGACTTCCATAGGTAACAAGCACGGCCAGCCGAGAAATGAGTTGGGACTGCCTCTGAGCAAATTCTCTCCATCGACAGACTGAGACTACAGCAACAATGTCACTGGTGGCACTGGCCGTTGTGGCCAGGCTGCAGTGTGCCGTTGGAGCGCAAGAGAAGAAATGGGACCATGCACAGTGAGAGGACAGTCTAACCACCCTTTCCCAAGGAAGAGTATGTATTCAACACTGGGTCAGTTCAGGAACTGATTCCTGCATTACTCACGTTGCCAGGCAAATTGTTCCCACCATAAATCAACACATCTTCAAACCCAATAAAATCACCCCTTGTAAGCCACAGGTATCAAACACAGTAGTTTCTACAAATACTCTGGTTTTGTGTTTTTCATCAATCCATTACAGCCTTTCAATAACAGTCTACTTCTAAGAACAGACCGAGTGCTCCAAATGGGGAAGAGGGATAAGAATGCCCATATTCACACCCAGGATAGGCCAAAAGGATATGTCAGCTCCACAATTCAACATGATGGTAAACTATGACAGTCCGAAACAGTCCTTAGAGCACAGGCCAGCAAGTGCTGAAACACGAGCTGCTGAATGCCAACTTACTCCAGTGATCTGTCCTCCAGTCAACATGAGCGGAGTCTGTGGGAGCCCCCCTTGTACAGAGGGCTGGCTTGAGACTTGAGAATCACCAGATTCTTCTGTCTTACACTAGAATTGAAACATATTGGAAGTTAAAAGATTAAATATATACAATAAGGGCACAAACTGCCAATTTGGAGAATGTATTTGAAGATAAGTTAAATGTATCGCCATCAGGCCACATATGTCTGTTACCGGCTCTGCACAGACCGGAAGTTCATGTGCAACACTTCACAGGGTAGAGAGGAAACTGCCCTGGTAGCAACAATGTCAAAAGCACACGAACGTAGCTGAACACGAGCTGCAGCAGGGGAGAGTCAAGAATAAGCCTGAGTTCAATATTCCTTACAGTACATGAAAAAGCAATAGAAAATCCAGACAAAGAAAGAGAAAGCTGCATTTTATTATCAAGTCTCCAGATTTTAGGAAGCACTCTGACTAGCTTGGCTTTAGTCACTTGACATAACATCCCATGCCATATATGTGAAGCTTAAGAGGAGAAACTACCACTGTCAAGGTATATCTACTATACAAATTTGTTCTGTGAAAATGTCCACAAAATAGAAGAAAACAGTATACAGAGGGAAACAGAGGAAAAACACTATTAGTGTTAATAAGAATGCTAGCAATAAGCTGTCATGCAAGATCTTTTTAATGTGTACATCAGACATACATCAGGATATAAACACTGCCAGTCAATGATTCTGGTGTCCACTACACAAGTTATCTGTATTCAATCTATAGTTTCCGTCTTGTTTGTAATGTGAATGCAGATTGTTTTAAAATATAAATACTGTACTGTTACATGCTAGTGGTGCATTCTTTGAAGTCGAGACAATGAGAAACGCTGGGAATGTTTGACTGCAACTGTCATTGTTACGGGTAATTTAAGTATTAAAGAGACCAACTTAAGGCTTTTGGAAAGGGACTGTTGTGTTATTTTTTTCTGAAATGCTGACTTCATTTTTGGGGTATCCACCAGTCTATAATAAGTACCTCACGTGTTTAGTGATTCACTGTTAGGTATAGGGAAAAGGTTTTGTTAAGCATGTGTTTTGGAGTGACTACCTCTGACAATTATCTTTTATTTGATACAAGGTTTCTCTTTTTTTATGGTATTTATGCCTCAGTGACAAGGACAATTTCCCTGTCTGTAAAAAAACAGGTCTCTGGGACTCAGATTTGTGAATCTCTGTATAGTCATAGGCTGTGTGTAGGTGTATTTTGTATTCACTCATCTTTTTATTGTTGCCACTTGGTTATTCCTTTGTTACCACACTTTGCCAAGGAACACTTTGCAGAAAAAAAGAGAAAACATGCTGTGTGATTCTTGATATTCTGACAATAGAATCTGTCATTATTAACTTTTAATTAACTTTAACATTTGCAAAACAACCTGGTGTCAGGACTTGATATTGTAATTTCAAACTCCCTTTCTTCAATTACTCACACATTCCCCAATCTCAGTTACAATATATACAGTACTATCAAAAGTATTCACTCCCCTTGAACGTAAACACATTTGATTGTAATACAATATGGTAACATAAAGTATTATTTAATTGGGAGTTTTTGGCATTGATCAACAAAAACACTCCATAGTGTTTAAGTGGCAATAAAATTCTACAGATCGTTCTAAATTAATTGAAATATACACACTGCAATTTTTTGGCAAAATCACAAACGAGGACCATTGATTTCCAATGCCTGCCAAAGACTCTCAGTTGGGTTAAAGGCTGGGCTACTTCAGAACAGTACCTTTTTTTTGTGTGTGTTTTTAAGCCACTCCAGTGTGGCTTTGGTTTTATATTTTGGGTCGTTTTCTTTGCTGGAAGATAAATATTCACCCAAGTCCCAGGTCTCCGGCAAACTGCAGTAGGTTTTTCTTCCTAAGATTTGGCTCTACTTCATTGCATTCATTTTGCATTTTATATCTTCACAAGTTTTCCATACCATTGACACGGAAGCATCCCCATAGCAGGATGCTAACATCACCATGCTTCATGGTATGGATGGTGTTCTCTGTGTGATGTGCAGTGTTATGCTTGCTCCAAGCATAGAGCTTAGCACTGAGGATCAAGGGCTCATTCGGCTCTCATCCGACCATAGCGTCTTCTTCCACTTGTCCTCTGGGTATCCCATGCCTTCTTCCACAAATTACTTGAGAGATCCGTTGAGATCCTTTTTACCAACGGCTTCCGTTTTGCCACTCTACCACTATTTGTGAAGCACCCAGGCAATAGTTGGCATATTCACAATTTCTCCCATCATACCTGTAAAAGCCTGTAATTCCTTTAGTGCTGCCACAGTTAGGGCAACAACTGACTCCCTAACTCATGCACTTCTCACCCAGTTTCTGTTTTTGAGGACACTCTGTTCTGCGCAGACTCACAATTTTGCCATATTTTTCCCATTTCTTTATATTGGATTTTTCTGTGCTTTGGGAGATGTCCAAGGCATTGAATATTTTTTATACCACTCCCTTGATTGGTGCTTTTCAATAACCACATCCCAGGTTTTCTTCAGGTGTCATAGCAAAGGGGATGAATTCTTACATAATCAGTTATTTTCGGTTTTATAATAAATAATAAATTTAGGAGACTGCAGACTAGCACTATAGTGTTTTGTGTGATCAATTGCGAAAAATCCATTTAAATAGTACAAAAATTTACATAGTACAAAAATGTGAAAAGGCCCAAGGGGGGTGAATACTTCTGATAGCCACTGTACAAATGCATTCAAACGTAACTTGTGGAAATGGAATAGTTATTTTAGCAAAGTATGCATGTGCACAACAAAAAACATATGAAGCAAATGATAGTTAATGAGAAAGTGTGCACTGCATATTAAATATTTAATTTTTTAAATCATGTCCAAATGTGTGATTACATTTAATATGATAACGTTACCAACAATGTTTAAATTTATCATCCAATAAACAACCAACATATCACACTATTTCTGATCTATCTGGTAACAAAAGATCTACAATAGAAACATGTGAATCTCACTTATCGACTGTCACTGGGTATAAAATGAGGCTTCACAGTCATCATGCTTAGAAGAGAAAACATTAAAAACTCATTACAGAACAAGTTTTCAGCAGTAATGGGCAATTTTAGCATAACTGGTGGTACTGAGACTAGGATGGATAAAAATTAATACATTGCCAGGCCTTGATAGTATTTTCCCTGTCATACTTCAGGAAATAAGGGATACTATTCACAGGCTTCTAGCTAGAAACTTACTCTTGCTTAGAACAGAGTTGGTTAAAAATTCACAGTAGCAACAACTCATTAAAAGTGTAACAGAACCAAACTACACCTCTAAGCAAAAAACGCTTAAATCCATTACTAGTATAATTATGGAGAAAAAAACAAAGCTAAATGAGAAGACTTATAAAACAATGGCACTACTTACAAAACAATGGCACTTGTAAGATACTATCATTGTGGATGTAGAAAGGAAACATCTTGCTTAACCTGCTAGAACACCAGAGCACTTGGCATGATGTATACACATTTCCAGGAAATTATTTTGATGATGTTCCTCATAAAAGTCCAACTATCACATTTAAAGCCATATAGGAATCCAAAGTTAAAACGCACATGGACCAAGAAATGGTTAATGAACAAGGAACAGCTTTAAATTGTTAAGTACACAACCTCTAATTTGGCAGATTAAAGTGGTATGCTGCAGAGATGCATTTTAATCCTGCTACTGCTCCTGATCTATATAAAATTGGATTCTGGTTTTATTAGTTAACGAGTTCAATTTACAGATGATGCAAAATGGGGGAGTGGCAGACAAACAGAGGTGAGCAAAGTACAAAGACTTGGACAATCACAGACAGAGCACTGACGTGATGAATTTAAAAACGGATAAATACAAAGTGACACAAACAGGTTAGTAGAAACATACACTACATACAGTACGGGTACCTCTAGCTGCTGCAAGGTACGCACTTACGAAATTTACATCAATATGGGGAAGTACTAAAAAAGTAATTGGAATGCTTAGGTATATAGCAATAATAAAAAAAGTGTGATATTAAAATCCAGGGAAGTTATGCTCAAGCTTTACAACTCACTAGTAAGACTTCATTTACAGTACTGTGTTCTGGCCAGAATACCATAAAAAAAGATATAACTTTTAAAAGACTTCATAGATCAACAAGAATGATTTCTGGTCTCAGGTGACTAGCGCATACAGATAAGGTAAGGGAGCTTAATCTCTTTAGTGCAGAACAAAGAAAATCGAGAGATTTTATTGAATTATATAACACACATTGGACTAATTGGACTTCTCTCACTTGCAACCTTTGTTTTTATTTCAGTACACTTGGCAGAATTCTTCAGTAAGCTATCAAGAAAAGAACACTATTCCAAATACTGTGATAAATTGTCATAACAATACTTCTTATAGTTTGGAAACAATTAGAACAAGGTAAGGTTGTGGCACCCATTCACACGCGATGCAATTTGACTTGAAAGTACCACCTAAAAACTATGAAATGCAGTAGTTAGCAGAAACCGAAAATCTCTCTCCATCAAGACGACACTAGGACTGGTGGACAACGAGAGAAAAAGTGACTCGATACACATTGCAGAGTCTGTACTGTACTGACAGCTTAAAGACAAACGAAGACATTTTTATGGTCAGACCAATTACAAAACAGACTGTTCAAGGAATAAAAAAACTACACTGAAAACCATGAATTGGACAGTTTTATTTGCTTGATTTCTGTTGAAATGTCAACATGGAAACTCAGTTGAGTACAATACTATGTACACAGAAATTTAAAAGGCACTTAGGAAATCTAATGATTTCAAAATATATATATGTGGTGGGTGTGACGATTTGAGGGGCATAAGGTGGGTTTCTATACAAGGGGAAATCAAATCTGCAGATCATTAAGCTTTGATCTTTTGTATGGTATTTTATAAAGTAGTAATACATGTTTCTTGTATATGGAAAGAGCTCATGAGTACCTGAATACATCTGCTACACTTTTAAACATGAATAAACAGGCAGAAACTTCAAGTTATCTTTGTGATATTATTGTACAA